AGCGATAGCCTTAATCTACATTTCTAATATCCTTTACTAGATTTAATAGATTATAATAATATAAGTATCATCACAAAATGGAATATCTCTTAAAATGTATAGCTTAATTATCTAATAGGTCTTTGAATGGCTTTTGGTAATGTTAAATTATTTTCATAATGTTTGTTTTACTGGTGGTCAAATTTTTTACTCAACTAACCGGTGACCCAAAACTTATTTTTTACCAGTTGGATTTTGATTATTTAGCTAAAATTTGTTATTATTGATCCTAGACGATATTGTTCAAAGAGCCAAGAAGTGTTAGGCAGAATATTTGGTCACAAAACTGTATATATGAAAAACATTATGTGCTGATGTTGTGATTTAGATATTAAAGTTCCATTTGCCATATTTCAGTTTTTCATAAAGGACACTCAGAGCTTGGATACACGTCCAATAATGGCACAATTCTCTATTATCCTGTATTGAACTTTACCATTTAGCCAAGTTACGATACAGGGAGGGGCACGCGACCCCTCTAACCGTGAAAAATAGAAGCCGCAGGATAACAAATGCAATTTGCTTAAATGTTATTGCCGCCACAACAACACAACATTTGTAATCAGAGGTCACAGAGGCATATATATATTATATGCGACGAAGGGAAAGAGCGTCGAAATCGCGTCGACAGTTAATGAGATTAAAACACCCAGCGGGTATCCTTTGCGTTCGGTCGGTTATCCTGCCCCAGCGGGATATTACCGAATTGCGCAGTGCCAGACCAAAAATTGAGAAGTCAAAATGTTGGGTGGGGTTGGGAAGCCGAGGAAAAGTCGAAGGAATCCAGAGGAATCCAGAGGAACCCAGAGAAACCCAGAGGAAATAGGGAATGCCTGGAATCCGAGATGAGAGTCGCGGCATAAATCACTGCCATAAATTAGTTGGCTTTTAATTACGATTATTATGCTGATAATAGGGCGCATTTAACGCGCGATAAACATAAATAATCGTGTCAAATGCAAACAGATGTCGAAACAAGATGACAGCGGAGATGCTCCAAACAACCTCAACAACTCCAAATCACGGAGTCTCATTCAGGCAGCGACTAAAGATTTAAAAGATAATGCCGGATACTATCAACTCTGCAGGTTCCCAGTAGTTTTCGGAATACGTGAGAGATCTTAAGAGCGTAGAGTTGGAAATTAAATAATCAGCTCTTAAAATGTAGCAAAAAATCCTACGAATTTGAAAAACAATCCAATAGTTATTAATCATTTAAACATCGAAAACAATTTATTATACCTTAAATTAAAATAAAAATTGCATTTTATTGCTATAAAGTTATAGTTATTATTATTAATGATTTTTAACAATAATTGTGACCTTGTTTCTCACATTTTCTTATTTATTTAAACTAGATTCTTTAAAAATTGCGAGATATTTCCACTTTATAGTTAAGACTACCTTATTTAAAAAAATTGTCAATATGTGTATGTCCCCTAAAACCTAAACATTAAGATACATAAAGATTAAGTTCCAATTGTATTGTTATTATCATATTTTTTATAATAATCATATCCATGTTTTCCATATTTTCTTATTTTGGATGCATGATTCTCCAACCTTATAGCCCGGCATACCCCAACTTATTGATTTATTTAGAGGGTATGCAAATATTTTCTGTGCGCGTTTCATTTTTTTGCTTAATGAAAACAATGTGTGAACAAGATTTGTGAACGGGGGCTGGCGGGGGCGTGGCAACCATTAAAAGATTCCTCGGATGCCTTTGGCAACTCGGCGTTGACACTTTCTTGGGGTTTTTGTTTTGGGCACTGGAGATTGGAGATTTGGGGACTGGGAGTGGGTATGGGTATGGGGGTCTGTGAATGATGGGGATCTCTCGTTTCTGGCGCCTAACTCGGCTCAAATGTGTGAAAATCATATTTTAATTAAAGTTTGCTGCTAATGATTTTGTCAGCGCCGCAGAGTCGCTCGTTTGTCATCGTCATCGCCTCAATCTTTCTGCCCCACTCAACTGCAGATCCACCTTGGCCTCTTCTGATTTATTCAGTTTTATTCTCGGCTCTGCTTTCCCACTATATAAGTATTGTAGGCACATGTATATATATTTACAGCCAGCCCATGTCCTTTGCAAGCCGATGCCAAACGCATGTCCTGTCCTTTGTTTTATGTCGCCAGCTATCTCTTTTCCCACAGCCCCCGCTCCTTTTGTGTTTGTATTTTTCATTATTTTAATTTACAACTTGCTCTGGCACTCTTTTGAAATCCGAATCCTGCGGGGGGGAGTGGGTGGGGGTGGGGTGCCCAGCGGGATGCGGCTACCATGTGACACACAATACCCAGAAAACAGGAGTCAAGGATCCCGGGAGGGTGAGGAAAATTGTTGCCTCATTCCGATTTACCGCACTTGAGAGTCCTTCGGGGAACACTCACTTTAAATTGCCTCTGATTTATGTCACGTATGCAAAACCTTTTGGGAAACACCAATCAAGACACTTTTGGTGCTTTTAAAAATTCTATATTTTATTTATAAATTTGTAATTTGTAATTGATTGTACTATAAGATCACTAATTTGAACCCATAAAATGGCAGTATTTTGACCGAAACTATAAAAGTATTGGTCCAAAAATAGAATGTCATACCTCGTTGAACTCGTAACGAAATTTCCAATAAATTCGCATTCACACCTAAGAAATTTTATTTTTGACCCATTTTCACAAGAATAGATGATACTACCCCTTGTAAAAAAAGTGAAAATTTGAAAATTTTTTTAGTTCACAGAATCAGCCGGGAAATAACTGCAATTAATTATCGAGCTTATTAGCTGCCCAAAACAGTGCGCCTTGTAGATTTTGGACCATTTTTGAACAAGTTACAGCAAAAATGGTCAAAGGAAAAAATCGGTTTTTCGCAAAAAAACCAAGATCCTTTTTTTGCACCCAAAAAAAATCAGTATTTTGGCCAAAACAAGAAAAGTAATGGCCCAAAGATCGAATGTCATACCTTGTTGAACTCGTAACAAAATTTCCAATAACTTCGCATTCACACCTAAAAATTTTAGTTTTTGACCCATTTTCACAAAAATAAATGATACTACCCCTTGTAAAAAAAGTGAAAATTTGCAAATTTTTAAAGTTCATAGAATCAGCCGGGAAATAACTGCAATTAATTATCGAGCTTGTTAGCTGTCGAAAACAGTGCGCCTTTTAGATTTTGGACCATTTTTGAACAAGTTACAGCAAAAATGATCAAAGAAAAAAATTGGTTTTTCGCAAAAAAACGAAGATCCTTTTTTCCACCCAAAAAAATCAGTATTTTGGCCGAAAGAAAAAAAGTAATAGCCCAAAAATGGAATATTTTACCTTGTTGAGCTCGTAATGAAATTTCAAATCAATTCGCGTCCACACCTAAAAAATTTTATTTTTGACCAATTTCCGCAAAAAAAATGGTACTGTTTTCATTTCTTTCTCACGACATTCTAGTATTACTTGAGTACCATTGCGAGATTAATTCTTTATGGCCCTGCAAACGCTTTAAGAAAGCAGTGAGGGCCATCCATTAATGCCCCCCGATGTCGAGAGTGCTCGTCGCCCAGTTTGCCATCTCGACCAGATCCTTATTCATTTGAATCTTGGATTCATTGCCCTGGCAAATTGTTTTTGCCCCCTGGGCGACCACACCCCCACCGAGGATGTCAAAACACCAGCGGGAAAAATAACTGCGCAGCTTAATCCACTTCCAAAAAGGCAAAGGAATATAAAAGGGATGATGGAAACAATCTGCACCCACTTGACGGGCAATCTGTTCCAGAGGATTGTTTCGAGGATTGCGAGGGTGCCTTGCCTCATTCACGGTAATAAAATTTAAATCACCCACACACACATCAGGATATCAGGACATCAGGGTCGACCTTTTAACCCCCCCAAGCCGTAGTATCCTTCAGACGAGATTGAGAGCGTTAAATGTCGTTAACGACCAGATGAACTGGCCTGAGTTGGGAGTTGCTGCCGGAAGTCCAGCAGTTCGGCAGCATCCCCAAATAAAAATCCGTCAAGCCACCCCCCGAAAATCAGATAAACATATTTTACGCTTATTTGCAGATACAAAGATTGATTTACCAAATTGATTAAGTCTCCGTTTTTACCCCACATCCATATATATATCCAAGTCCATAGCCCAAATGAATCGGAAACGCTCGCGTTTTGTTGTACATTTATTTTGAATGAAATTTAAATAGTTTATTCGTATTTTAAATAATTAATTTACATAGACAAAAAAAAGTAATCGAAGATGATAAATTGCGTTATTTGTTTTTTGTTTTTTTTTTGTTTTGCATCCGTGCTGTTTTCTGTGTGTGTGTGTGTGCTAAGTATCTAAGTATCTGCCTAAGCCTAGTTCAAATAAAACAACAAAAACACATTTAGTTTAGCTTGGTTTTCTTCATTTTGTTTAGTTGGGATCGATTAAAGCACTAGCGTCTAAGATATCGATATCGATACCGATTTCGATCGATCGACCTCGATGGGGTTAGCAAAAATATTTGAGGGCCATATGCTAATTTACAAGGGCCAGAGTTCAAATCCCCCCCTGTTACATTTTTTTTTTGTTTTTTACAATTTTGGTTCGCTCACACTTCATAATTGGACTAGAAATATATTTATGATGTTTTTCCCCCGCTCAATATCCGTATTTATATTTATATATTTTAGGTTCCTTCGTTTAGAATTGCATATTTATGTTTTTTTTTTGTGGTGCTCGAAGCTTGTCTCTTGGTTAATATCGTATATATATATTTGCTTAGGGGCTATGAAAAAAATTACATATTCATAGGGCTAGTAAAAAAAATACAAAAAAAAACTCGAACTCCCTTCAGTATTTTTTAGGGATACAACTAGATATACTAGAAAATGGCTTACACTAAACAAATAGGCTACAAGCAATAGATATTTATTTATCGTTTTCAGATTAGTGCTGGGGATAAGCGCCATAGACACATAGAGCGGGCTTTATCGAATATGTACAACCGCCGGATAGCTTTTAGATGATATATTATCAGATATATTAGAGATGGAACCCATTCCTTAGTTGGTGAAGAGGAAGGGTCCCAGCGAACCTCAAACCATGGGAGGCTTGATGTCCACCAGGGAGCTGGGATCCAGGCCAGGTGAGCCACCGGTGGCCAGGTGGTGCGAGTGGTGGGCATGGTGGTGCAGGTGGTGATGGGGATGCTGCTGCTGCTGCTGGCCGAATTGCTGATGAAGGTGTTGGTGGTGTTGCTGCTGTTGCTGCTGATGGTGTTGCTGCTGCTGCTGCTGCTGCTGGTGTTGCTGCTGCTGCTGCTGATGTTGCTGCTGCTGCTGTTGTTGCTGCTGCTGCTGCTGTTGCTGCTGCTGCTGGTGGAGCATCACCGGCGAACCGCCCGCGGCGACCATCTGGTGCGGCGTGGCCAGGTGCAGACCGCCGCCCAGCAGGCTGCTGGACGTGCCATTGGCGCTGTGCGCGTGCAGCGAGGTCGGGGTGCCGGGATGGCTGCTCCCAGAACCGGAACCGGAAACGGAGCCGCTCGACCCACCGGAGTTGGAGTTGGAATTGGAGGTGGAGCTGGAGCCGCCGCCGCCACCGGAGGAGGAGTTGCCTCCTGCGCCACTTCCATTTCCACTTCCACTGCCGCTGGCCAATCCGGAACCGGAAGCTGGACCCGAGCCACCCCCGCCGCCACCGACCCCGCCCGTCTGAGGGCCACTGCCCACGCCGCCCAGCCCGTTGGACTCGCCCGACTGGTTGGCGGCCTCCTCCGAATCGCTGCACGATTCCGAGGAGCCCTTCTTCAGCCCATGGCCACCATGGCCATTGACCTGGTGGCCGGCCGTGCCATTGTGCGTCTTCACGTGCTTGGCCAAATGGTCGCTGCGCATAAACCGCTTGTTGCACACGGGGCATGCAAAGCGCTTCTCGCCGGTGTGCGTCCTCAAGTGCCGTTGCAGCTCGTCGGAGCGCGTGAAGCGCTTGCCGCAGAACAGCCAGTTGCACACAAAGGGACGCTCGCCGGTGTGCCACCGCAGGTGAGCCTTCAGATGCGACGTCTTCCCGTACACCTTGCCACAGCCGGGTATGTGGCACGAGTGGATGTTCTTCTTGCGCAGATGGACGCCGGCTGGGCCCAGGCGCTCCGCCTCCTGGCAATTGGGGCAATCGCAGGTGGCCCGTCCGGCATACCGCCGCTGGGATCGCGGCGACGGCGTTGAGGGTGAGCCACCCTGGGGTGAACCACCGGCGGCTGCTGCCGCTGCCGTTGCTGCCGCCGCCGCTGCCGCCGACGGGGAGCTGTGGGGCAGGGAGAAGCCACCCATGCCCACGCCCACTCCAATGCCAACGCCGCCGCCCACGCCCACTCCCTGGCCGGGCAACATGCTCTTGTAGGTGTCCTGCAGCAAGTGCTGGCCGGATCCCAGGAGCGAGTGACTCAGCGCCGAGCTGTAGTTCTCGCTGGCGTAGTTGGCCATCGTGGAGTGCATGCCCGCACCACCCATGTCCAGCCAGGAGCCGGCGGCACTGTGCATGTCCCACCAGCCGGAGTTCACGCTGGCCGCCTCCTTGTGGCTCACGGCATTGAAGGGCCAATCGTAGGGGTGGCGGGAGTAGACGCCCCCGAAGGCCGCCGCTCCGGCCTCCACCTTGCCGAGGAGGCCCTGGTGCATGTGATGGTTGTCCATGTTCGAGGTGGAGGCGTTCGGGAAGTAAAGATCCGACCCGTAGGCGGCCGCCATCGCGGAGGCCGACGAGGAGGAGGCGGAGGCGGAGGAGGAGTGCGATCCGGAGGCGGCGGAGGAGGAGGAGCCACCGCCCGAGGAGGCGGAGCCCCCGCCCACCGCCGCGCAGGAGGAGGCCAGGGGGCGACTGTAAGGATAGATGCTGAAATTACTCGCGGGTCGTATAGGGCCAGCTGCTGCGGCTGTCCGCGCACAGCGCTCCCCGGGAATGCCCCGTACCAGGTGGGTGGATGTGGATATGGATGGACCTTTCAGGGACGGCAATCCCGTATTCTATACTACACATATCTTGCATACCCCTACATCATTGTGGTAAACACTCTTAAGGAGGGCAAGCCTTTGATTATAGTTCAAATATATTGTTTACAATATCATCTTGGTATATCCTCCTAGGGATAGCATTCCTATAGTCTAGCGTTTGGTTATACTTTAAACTCCTTTATTATTGCTATATCATCACAACATATAGCAATCCATTCTACTAGCCTCTCACTATATCATAATATCCTCTCATAGTATATCCTCTCAAGGAAAGCAATCCTGTATACTAACCTTTAATATATGTACTTCAAATATTTCGTTTATTTTATCCTCATGGTATATCTTCTCAAGGATCCAGGACACTATATCATCATAAAATATTCTTTCATGTATAGGAATACTGTATTCTAGCCTTTGATTTGTATCATCAATGTATACTCTCCCAAAAATATCAATCCTGTATTCTACTATATTTTTTACCACTATGTCATCATAATATATTCTCTCAAGCATAGTTATTTTGTACATTAAGTATCTTTCTTACCACTTTATCATAATTATACTTTTGGTGTTATGAAAAATATTTCTTTAATAACCGTTTTTCGGAATCCCTGACTAGGAAATATCATTTTGCATAGAATATATCTCGCAGGAGTATTGTGGAAAAACCTTGGTAACTATAATAAACTGATTCCCAGTTTTATCTACTTGTTTAAAGACTTTTCTAGATCCCATTAAGGGCCTGAGTACCATCCACCCGCTGGGGAGTCCCCGGAGGATCGCTGTGCGCCGCCTGTCTGCTTACCTAGCTGTGATGTTCACCATGGTGCTGGCGCTGGCGGAGAGGCTCCTGGAGGACTGTCCTCCGCTGGATCCGCTGGAGCTCGACGAGCTGGCCGCTGAGATGGCGCAGGGCGAGTGCTGGCCGGCGCTGCTTCCTCCGCCGTTTCCCCCTCCGGATGAGCCACTGGAGCCCGCTGCCGGGGAGTTGGGGCTCTTCTTCCACGGATGGAAGCCCTTGCCCACAGCGGCGTCGGCCAAAGGGGGTGGGGATTTGTTCGAGAGCTTGTTGCACTGGGCGGCCAACATGGCGAGAGGGGTTCCCCTCAAACTGGGATGGTCCTGCAAGGAGAAAAAAGGACACGAAAGTCGCATTAAAATAAAAATCTTAACATTTTGTGCAGTTTTGTTAAATTTCAACAAAAACTGAAATTAGTTTAAAATTGAGAAAGTAAAAATATAATACTTTATAAAAAAATCTATATCTCATAAGATTTAAAAAGTTATTTTTCAAAAGGATTATTTCTTATCACGAATACAGGAAAATTATTAAATGTATTTATTATTAAATATTTCAATAAACCAATGTTGCAATTGTAGTTTCCCCATAAGGGAAAAAAGGTTCATAAAAATATAATAAAATAATAATTTATAAACAAAATCTTCTCTAATATTCCAATCGTGATATGCACTTCATCGCCACACATTTCTAGAAAACTTTTCCCATGGGAATGCTTGCATTTCTTAATTAACTGCCGTTCGCGCGAATTTGCAAATTACTTAAATGCGAATTAGTCGAGCTCAATTTCGCTTCCTGCCCGATTTTGCTTTGTTTTTCGGCCAACGGTTTCTAATGTCTGTTAACAGAAGGGCCAAGGGGCAGGCTGAGAACCAAGAAGCCAAGAAGGCAACCCACAAAATTAATTCGCCACGTAAATCAAAACTGAAATTCCCTTTTAGCGCTGCGAATGAGCCGCGTTTTTACGGTCTCTGGCTTTCTGTGGATACCCTTTTGGGCCTAAAGGGGTTAAATGGACTAAGGGAAGATTGAATAGGAATAATACTTTAATTTAAAAGATTGAATTGTATAATGTTTGTCTGATGTACAAAAGGAATTCATTTTTAAATATTCATCTTCATAAGAGGTACCTATTTATCATAGACTAAAAGTATGTTAAGTTTCAGATTTTCCAAATAGAAGGAGATTAAATGCTCCTTTTTTCAACTTATAAATATTTACTATAACAATTTTTGCTCTTACTTTAATATTTCAATATTTCTTTGAATATTCATATTAAAAGGTATTTTTTTGCTTGAAAGTATTTTAAGTTCCATACTTTTCAAGTTAGCCAAGAGATCCATCAACTTAATAGGTAAATACTATGTTTATTAATTCAGGGCATTACCCATTCGACTTGGAACAGATAACCTTTTTCCCACAGACATTTATAATCGAGCGCTGCGTTTTGGGAGGAAGTCATTAAAAGTCGGCTCGGTTTTTGGGGATTCCTGGCCGTCCCGTCCTTGGCCAAAACTAATTTTCAATTCCGCTTTTTGTCTAGCGGCAACTTCGGCACTTGTTTTCTCCTTTTCTCACTCGAAATTGCTGCCTGATTGACGAAGGTCGAGAATTTCTCTAGAGGGAATTCTCCCAATCTGGGGTCCTCCGATCCTCCGATCCTCTGATCCTTTGATCCTCGTCAAACACATTTCATGCCTGCCAGCTGCTTGAGTTGCCGCAGCGAACAACCTGGTTAAAAACAACCAAGAGTCACGGCAACAACAACGCCAGAATTGTCAACAACAAGTTGAACCACTTTGGCAATACGGTAAAAGTTGTTCAATCAAGCGCAGCGCTATTTAGTTACATATATACACTGATCCGAAATTAATCTGCCATCAATCGATTACCAAGGAAATGAGTCAATTCGAATTTTCCCATCGCACTAATGACAGGTTGCTTAATATGGCCTTTTTCTTTATTTATATTTTTTTAATAGCTCAAAAATAGTTTTAAGAGACATGCAGATAGTTCCCAATAAAATAAGTCAAGAGATATTATTTTGGAAATAGGAACTTTTTCAATTTTTTCAATTCTTTATCTTAAAGAACAAATATTTATTGGGTTTTAAAAGCATTTTTATATTCTGAATATTTTTTGAATGTAGATTTTTATTTAATTTTAAATATTTGATAATTGTCTTCGTGGAAAATGTTTTCTAGGTTCAAGTTGCGTTGTATTGTTGTTAAATGTTGCAGTTTATTGTTTACCATTAAAATTTGTGCTAAATAGCTTGAGTGTTTGTCACCATTTGTATTTTTAACAAATTTGCTATGTACTTTTTTCCACTTTCATGTGATTTTTTCATAGCAACTATTTGTTCGAGTGTATTGTGACCATAGCCCAGTAGTCGTGGCCTCGTCGAGTTGTCCAAAAAAATTAAGTTAATAGTTTACTGACTCGAGTCGGCCGATTTACAGTTGCCTAGTTTCGAGCTTTTACCGTTTCGATGGCGATTCGTGGAGGGGGTGGGGGTGGTGCAGTGGTGCAGTGGTGCAGTGGTTTTATGGTGGTGCAGTAGTGGCTCGGTGGATTGCTCTGGCAACCCGCAATCAGGCCGAGATCGGGATCAGAGAGCCTCCGCGGAAGCTGCTATTTCGGCCAGTAATTGGCCACTCCAGAAATTGAGAGGAAGGCCTTTGGACCGGGGAATTCCCCCACACAACCGCCCACCTATATGTATCCCAGGCCATTTCCTTACTTTCCTGTGGATCTGTTTTTTTTTCTCCTTTTCTGTGGCACGTTTATGTCGCTGCCGCTTTTTTCAATTGCCAGAGTGCTCATCTCCAGCATTGGACAGGTGCTTTGGCAGCCTAATGACATCACCCATTCAAATCGTGAGGTTTCTGGATCTCTCTGGATATCCAGCCACCGAACTACTTTGGCCCCTCAGTTGGAAAAAAAAAACAAGAAATAAAAAACCCAAAGCCAAAACCCAAACGAAGTCAGGCCAAAAAAGCACACACTTAATTGGAGCAATTTCAACGTCGTGCAACTGCGCGTATGAGTAATGGCCGTTGTGCCAGTGTGTGTTGGATAAATTATACAAAATGATATCGGGGCAGGCAAGTCAGTCAGTTAGTTAGTCAGTTGGTCAGTTAGTCGGTTAGTCAGCTAGTCAGTTAGTCAGTCAGGGGAGTCTGGGGCAAATTAAAATGCAACTCGATTTGATTAATCGATCAGACTTTTGATTGACTGGTCTTGAGTGGGAATATAAATGTTTGGGTCAAACGATGATGGGTAGGATAGTAATTTTTATAATCGTAGGAAAGTACAAATAAATGGTAAGACAAATGTATAATTATATTTTTATTCTTTATGATAGACAGAAAAATAATTTTATTAGAGAGAATTTTTGAAAAGAACACAATAATTAGGGATGGATAAATGTATACCATCTTCTTCATTATCATATAGAAACGATGAGAAAAATGTTTAACTGCATTTTTAATCTTCGTAATAGTAAAAAAAAAATTTTATGACAGAGCATTTTTTGAAAACCATCCATTCCTGTTATTATTTATTCTTTAACCATGTACAAATATTGTAATACTTAGTATTACTCATTTGTTATAAATCATGGTACTTGAAAATGAGGTGATGAAAATATCCTTAATTGATATCTTCCTTTGATTCCATTTTTGATATTATCTCAACCTGATTTTACAACTTCCTTATAGCCTCCCCATTTCCTTTGCTCTTTCTTTTTTGTGTCACCCTAGGAGGTCTTGCAGTTGGCCTAATTAAAACAGTTGAATGTCATTTCCCAAAGCTGAAAACGGAATCGGGAATCTCGGAGATCAAAAAGAAGGAAGAGCCAAGGGGATATCTTCAAAAGGCGCGAGCTAAACAAATTTGGTCAACTCAGCAGGTGGGGGGCTGGCGTTTATATGGCTTTCCCCTTCCCAAGTTCCCATTTCGGACTCCGATTCGGATGCCCTGGTCGAATTCACAGCAGGCGCTATCAGCAAATGGTGCTGCAGGTTCCTCACCTTTTATCTACCTCAGCACCCGTCTCCCGTCTCTTTCGCACCCCGATATGCCCCACTCTTTCTGCCGCATATCAGCCATCTCTTTCTGTTCTCCGTTTGGCAGAGCGGCAACAAGTTGGGCACTTCAATCGGAGGCGGTGTCATAATTTTCACAGCAGGTGTCGTCGCTAATGATTTACAATGAGCCAGGGAAAAACGGTGAGAAACGGAGAATTGGAGAATCAGAGAAAGGGAGACGGAGAAATTGTGTGAGAGAGGGAGGGGAGATGCACTCGGTTGCATCGCCGTGTCGGCAAACAACAATAAAAATGTGAAAAATCTAAATTCGTTGTGGTCGACGTCGCTTTCCGTTTGAAGTCGATTCCGAAGACCAATTCATTATTCATCGGTTGGCATTGTATGCTATTGGTAGGCCATATATATATAGGGTTCGATTCCTCGTGGGTGGGGCGTTGCAGTGGCTAATTTGCCGCTGGGATCGATGGGTTTTTAGACCCGAAGAGGGTACGGCGACTGGCGCCTAGTGGCGCCCCCTAGGGTGCCCGAGTGCCAAACAAATTGTTAACCATTGTGATCCGATTCGATTTGGAGTCGGTGGATCAAAACGGCTCTATATGTGTTACAGATCTGCATTTCAAATACAGTATTGGTATTTTTCTAGACTGTCCCATCTCAAGGCTAACTGTTAGAATATAAATGTAATTAGGACCTATTTTTAAAAATGATCCGTGATTCAATAAATTATATCATATTATAATTAGGTAGGTAATATACATGAAAATTGTTATTACAACCCCTTAAAGTCCTATTTAATATTGCTAAAACTAACTATAGTTCTTAAAGAACTATAAAAGTGGTTGTAAAGCCGATAGGTATTTTCTAGTAAGGGATCATAAAAATATGGCCATTAAATTTTGAAAATGATTCCCCACTTTTCCAACAAACTAATACGAGGGGGCAGCGCTTTAACTCCACTTTCAGTCTTTTCCAATTATCGCTGCCATTTACACTCCTGATGAGTTTTCTCCGCCATAAAAACGGACCCCTAAAAAATCAACTATCGAAGCCGACAATTATCGCCATCCATCAACGGGAATCAATCTCAGCTAATCCGTGGGTCCAGCTAATCCCCAAACTTTGTGGCACAGTGTGTGAAAGGCAGCAAAATGCCGCTCTTCTCATCAGCGCAAAAAACCATCGTCGAAAACCACTCAAAAACAAAAAATATTTAAGTGCGGCAAAAAAAGAAGAAAAAGTCGAAAACTCCGGCGCCAAAATGCAAATAAAAC